CTCTCTTGTTTTAATGACCTGCTGCTCCTCCATTAATGAAGCGACCCCTCGGGAACATAAAAAGTTGCCTAATTCCGTCATTTTCCACCAATGTGTCACTGGCCACCTCAAACAACTCACATCTTTGTCAGTGAAGCTGAGTGCTCCCACATCTCTTCCTTCATGGTGACCATCTACATTAAGATCCAAAATTCTGAGATTAAAGTCATCATTCTGAGTTTTTTCCCATTTTAAACTTTAATAAAATTTTAAAATCAGTTAAAAGTATAATGTTCTCGCCTCAAATTATCTTAAAACATACTTTTATCGAACAACAGTAACAGAAAAGAGAAGTTCTGACTCGGAGCTCTGTGAGCGCTCCACTGGAAGCTGATGCCGCAGTGCATGCTGGGAGAGCTGTCGATCTAAAGAGCGAACAAGTCTGCTCTGATGCATGCTGGGTAAAGAGGGAGGGGTGAGAACAACATTTAGGGACGTTTTTGAACTGCTGTTCTTGTAACTAATTACTTTTGATTACTTTTTGATTACTTTAAGGTGTTAATGAGTATTGACCCATGTTCTACATTTAATTTTTGAGAACTGAATGTGAACCTTAAAAAAGCACTAAGCTGAGAGGGAACTGCTGACAGGAAATCACAGGATGCCCACAAGAAGAGATGCCAGCAGCACCAGGCATGGAAGATTTTCTCAGACTCCTCTCATCGGGCCATGCTCTTTCTGTTCCTCCCCCAGGCTCTACCATTGACGCAGTTTGCAGACTAACACAAGAAGGTTCAGGTTGATAGCTGGAAAACGCTTCTTGCACTGCACGGTTAAATTTGAGCCATTTTCACAGATGTAAATAAAATGCTCCTTAAATTTCCAGTGCTGGAAGGCTGTCATTTTTGATGCGCTGCTTTGAGCTGAAATAGAACCGTCCGCTCGCTTGCTGTTCCTCAAGGAGGCTCCACCAGCACAGGATGGATCATCAGAGTGGCAAATATGATAGAGACAAGGAGCCGTAGCGGGAAACGGTGATACAGGGCGCGAAGCAATAAAAATATCATTACAGTAAACCAGGCATCCCCAAACTCGGTCCTCGAGGCCCGCTGTCCTGCAGGTTTTAGAGGTTTCCTTGCTCCAGCACAGCCGATTTTAATTGAAAGCTAATTAACAGGCTTTTGCTCAACTGCAATCATTATAATCAGCTGTTTTAAAGCAGGGAAACCTCTAAAACCTGCAGGACAGCGGCCCTCGAGGACCGAGTTTGGGGATGCCTGCAGTAAACCCTCGTTTATCGCGGGGTTTACGTTCCTAAAAGAACCTGCGATAGGTGAAATCTGTGAAGTAGAAACCTTTATTTTTTTAAAGTTATTATACAATGAAATACTCCATACAACATTGAAATCAAGGAACAAAAACTTTTTATAGGCCCAAGCATTTGTTAAACAAATAAAAGTAGCCTACGGTATAGACTTTGTTATTGTCTGTTTTTTGTTTTGTTTTTTTTTTACAAATAACTACTGTACTGTAAAATAATATATAGGTATCAATAAATAAGTTATAATTTTAATCATCAATTCGACCTGAAGAGTTAATATTGTCACGTTATAGCGAGGGTTCACTGTACATATTTCGCAAAGGTTTTTCTTTATATTTTTTTTTTAAATGTAACTAAATTTGTAATTCTTAATATTTTCGGAAGTAACTGTAAATGAATTACATATTTTGTCATTGTAACTGTAACGAATTACAGTTACTCTGTTTTTGTAATTAAATTTCTTAACGTCGTTACATGTAATCCGTTACTCCCCAACACTGCATGTTAGTCATTATGATATGTGATAGTCTTAGATGTTTTTCGTCGATTAAAACATTATATTCCAAAAAAAGTGAACCTTTACAATCTGGAATACCAACCAGATTATTTACCAGGTGCCCAGCTCTAGCCTAGATGCTACAACTGTTGTATAGAATGTTGNCTCAGAATTCTGACTTTGATCTCAGAATTCTGACTTTGATCTCAGAATTCTAATTTTTTTTTTTTTATAATTCTAATTTTTTTTTTCTCAGAATTCTGATTTTGATCTCAGAATTCTAATTTTTTTCTCAGAATTCTGACAGCTAACAAACATGTTAGCATCAAGCCGTAGCCATGTCTGTTTTAGAGACTAGCTCTCTTGTTTTAATCACGTTCTGCTCCTCCATTAATGAGGGACCCTCGTTAATGGAGTAAAAAGTTGCCTAATTCAGTCATTTTCCACCATTGTGTTACTGGCCCTCTCAAACAACTCACATCTTTGTCAGTGAAGCTGAGTGCTCCACATCTCTACCTTCATGGTGCCCATCTACATTAAGATCCAACATTCTGAGATTAAAGTCAGAATTCTGAGAAAAAAGTCATCATCCTGAGTTTTTTCCCATTTTAAACTTTAATAAAATTTAAAATCAGTTAAAAGTATAATGTTCTCGCCTCAAATTATCTTAAAACATACTTTTATCGAACAACAGTAACAGAAAAGAGAAGTTCTGACTTAATACTCGGAGCTCTGTGAGCGCTCCACTGGAAGCTAATGCCGCAGTGCATGCTGGGAGAGCTGTCGATCTAAAGAGCGGACAAGTCTGCTCTGATGCATGCTGGGTAAGGAGGGAGGGGTGAGAGCAACATTTGGGGACTTTGTCCATTCTTGGCCTGCTGTTCTTGTGAATTGGAACAGGGCTGAAGCTGATGACGTCACACGAGCACATGAGAACGCACAAGTAGACATATCAAGAAAGCGCCTTTAGTGTTCTGGACGAAAACTAGTATTAATGTTAGTCACATGTTAGTCATTATGATATGTGATAGTCTTAGATGTTTTTAGTCGATTAAAACTTGAAAAGGTTTTAGTTTTAATCTAGTATTATATTCCAAAAAAGTGAACCTTTACAATCTGGAATACCAACCAGATTATTTACCAGGTGCCCAGCTCTAGCCTAGATGCTACAACTGTTGTATAGAATGTTGCCATGCAGCTCATCATTGCTGTTGGGCAGAAAATGTTCATTTATAGAATTCAAATAAACCTTTTTATGAATGAATGCTCTACTTTATAAAATAAGTGTCTCACAAAAGTTTTGAAAATAGCAGATCTAGTTAAATCACCATAATCGGTTAATATAGCAGACAGACAAGCTAACAAAATGTACAATAAAGAAACGGTTTTAGACATACATGGGTTCATACCAGGTCACCCTGGTTAAATGATTAATGTTCATTATTGTATTTTTTTATTTTTAATTATTTTAAATATCTGGTTATGTCTTGGTTTGCATTTGTTCTCACTTTAACAACAATGTCTGTCACCTTATGAGAATGTGACTAAAAGGAAAACTTGGTCTGAGGTCTCTCAGGTGACAGAATGTATCTGTGAAAAAAATTCAAAAAATAAAATGGGAAAAAAAAGAACATAGCAGAAATGTTGTGCTGCTCCACCATGCAGCGTGACTAAATGGGTGCTGTTCAGGTGATAGCTGGAGTTTATTCCGTCTTTATATTTCCAAATAGAACCACATAAAGTTAATCTGTGTCCTTCTCTCCATCAGTGTAAATAAACCAGACTGGACTCTGGATCCTTCATGTTTCTGCTCTAGCATGCCTCTTCTCTAGTTAGTACTTCTCTTGGAAAAACCAGAGAGGCTGCGCTTGGTGATCAAAATTTTAACTGGGAAGTCTGGAGATCTTCTGATTTTCCAAAATATTCATACTTACCGATAAATCTACAGAATGTCTGGAATAAAATATGGAATCACCACCCCAAACATTCCTGAGTGAATAATTTACCATTCAAACTTAAAATTTAAAAATCATTTCATGTATTCCAGCTCTGGTTGCTGTAGAGATTGTTGTTTTTTACCTTTTATTTCAACCTTCTCAGCACTGGCTCTGCTCCTCCATCTCCTTCTGGAATTTCTCCCTCCAGAGCTTCACCCTCTGCGCCTCCTCCCTCTCCTTCTCCTGCAGCAGCGATTGCAGGAAGGCGGCGCTCACCACATCCTCACGCTCACCCTCGCCCACCAGGTAGGTGTTTTTGAATCGGTTGTACAGCATGGCGGCCTTGTCCATGATGGCTTGGTTCGCCCGATAGTACCGCATCTAAAAACCAAAACAGCATCAGAACGGTTAGGCAAAGATATAAACAATGTTGGGCTGGGTTTTTCTGTGCATAAAATAGGTAATATTGTTAATCTGTGTGCCCTCCTTTGTAAAGAATGAAAATTTTTCTGAGAAAAATACAGGGGTATGAGGTCTTTGTGATGTAGTTTGTGTTTTTTGTTAAAGAAAAACATGTTTTAACCAATCAATAATGCAGCATTAGGCGACATTCACCCTTCAGGGCTTTAATGCTCAATTCCAATTTTTTTGTGGCTACGTTCAAAACAGCAGCCTGATGAACCAAATCCGATTATTTTGCCCATATGCCCCATGTATCTGATCTTTTCAAGGCTGTCTGAACAACACGGATCTGATTTTTTCCAATGCCACCCAGGCCACTTGGCTATGTGGTCCTGATCCGATACAAATTTGACCCGTGTCTGAACGGCCAGGTCGCATTCATCCCACCTGAACGTCATTAATACTCAAAGGTCAATATTTTATGCAGAAGCAGGATGAAAAACAACAACCAAGGCGGACGATGATGGCTTTATTTTTAACCATCTAGAAAAGATTGTGTTTTTAAGGTTGACAAAGATCGCTAGATGCGCTCCAGCACTACCATCCATGTGTACTTCCGTAGAAACAGAGCGCAGCATGTGCGATATTATTACTAAATTCATAGCAGCAAAACAAGCAGAAATGAACGCCTAATTTAATATTACAAAAATCCTCATCAGCATCCAGCACATGTGCAGTTTCTGTCCAAATATTTCCATTTTGTTGTGGATTTTTCTAACAGGGATAACTAGGATCATCCATGGTTTGTATGAACTGTTTGTTCTCTATTTCCAAACTCAGCATCTCTTCATCCATGCCTGCGATCAGGAGTTTGTTATGAAGTTGTCAGATGCGCTGTTTGAAGTTGTTGTGGCTGGATTTGATTAAACTTTTAAGCCTCTCAGTATAAAAAAATATTTAGATCGAGATGAGAAATCTGCTTCCTTGGTATGAGGAAGTACCAATAGTTTGCATCCAATTATATAATTAAACGCTCTTAGTATTAGGGAAAATATAAGATTTATGCTCCAATTTATTGTTTCTGATCTGTCGTTACTATATTTTAATTTGACAAACCGGATCTTCTCCACGTCTTTTTTCCGGTTTGGTTCGATTGCAATTACGGATCTTGACCTGGCCGGACCGGAGCGGATCAATAAATAGCTCGGCTCCGTATTTGGACGCTGACGGACGGAGAAGACGTACGTGGACGGCAGAGATGGGGACTCGAGTTTGTGACTCGTACTCGAGTCGCACTTAAGTCGCATATTTAATGACTTCAGACTCGACTTAGACTCGTGATTTCTGACTTGTGAACAATATTTTATTTTTAAAGTGTTTTTTGTTTTACTAACTTGACTGATCGCCGCTCGCCCTATCCGCACACAGCAGAGGTAAAAAAAACAAAACAAAAAAACCCGGCAGAGTGGCTGTCAAACTGTCACGTAGCACTGACGTCACTGACGCAACGCTACGTGACATATATGCCCGCGCGCATGCATGCATGATCGACAAGCAACGCTTTAAAAACTTCATGGCAGTCGTAGAGGAGAAATATGTTGTGAATAATGTTGTGAATTGGCACTAAATAAATAAACTGAATTGACTTTAAAATACTGCCCGCCAAGTCGGTTCTGTCTGTTCCAGGGCATTAAGTTACAAAAAGTTATTACCACAATGTTTCTATGAAAGAATTGTTATTGTCCTGGTATTTATTTAGGGTTTTTCTTTATCTGTTGTAGTTGCTAACTTCATATGTATTAATAAAAGGCAGGATTGTGATTGTTTTTTTTCCACAGCCCTTATTTTCACTTAAAAATAAAAGAGCAGACATTTACTCCTAACACTAGAAAAAGTTGTAACCACAAATGTCAGAAAAATACTGTAAGAAAATTGTTGTTTTTGAAAGAAAAAAATAAAGATGCAAAATTTAACTGGAAAAAAAATTGCGCGTGTGCTTTTTTTTAATTGTATTTTTCATTTAGCAGTTCAAGATAATGATCATTCCATAGATATAATAGTAACTTTTAAGCTATACCGTCTCAGTGACTGAGATGAAAACACAAGGAGAAACAAGCAAGCACGAAAATTATTGCACTTTTTTTAATTATTCAACTGATTAGAATTTATTGTGCGATTAATTGATAATTGCGACAGGCAAGAGAGAGACTTGACTTGGACTTGCAAAAAATGACTTGTGAACATGTTTGGTGGACGGTGACGTGCGGAGGAGTAGCAGTGGATGTGGAACAGCTCTCATTGATTAACATCACAGACAAGTACTCTGCACGACGTACGTGAGCGGAGCGCTGATGGAGGATGTGGAATCTGGGAGTAAAGCTGTATGAATGCAGTTGAGATCGCATACTAGTTGCATATACTTAGAAAATTGAACAGCAAAGCAAAAGAAATCAGATTTCACAAAGAGGATCAATAAACCCAGAACCCTTAACACCCAGATTCTTACTGCAAGGTATCTAACTATGTTATGATATAGATAAATATCTAAGTTATTGACCTCATACNTAAACATTTTTTTTTTATCCTCACACATTTCCAGAATTATTTACACATTTTCAAATCCCACTGCACTCACACGACATACACACAACTCTCCACACATGTGCAAATAATTTTGCTACAATATTGCTCCCATGTCTTGTTGCAAATGTAATTTATATAGAGCGGTGTTTACCTTCCTGAGGGTGGCTATGAGCTCGCTGTGCCTCTGGACGTGTTGAGACGTCACATACAGCATACTGAGTTGGTCCAGCGCTGACAGACACTTCCTGATATCCTGGAGAGAGACACGACACCACCAGTCACTTCTATGGTTTTCCTGATGACCCTGGTGGGGGATGACGCTACTTGTTACACATTCTCTATTACCCCATTTACACTACCTTTGAAAAACCGTGCAGAGACCGGTCCGAGCTCAGTAACTGAGATAACTTATCGTGTGTAAATGGAAAGCAAACTCAACCGAACCGCGCTAACTGGAGACCAGTTCCAGAGGTGGGCTCGGCTCGGTTTTTCCCTGGCTCGGTTCTCTGATAACAAGAGCGCATGAGCAGAATGCGTCATCTCCGTCTGGCTGCACATCCTGATTCACACTCCACTTCCAGTAGTTGGCGGTAATGCCCCTCCGGAAACAGAAGAAGAAGAACAACTTCTTCAACTATAAACAACAATCAAAATCTTCTCCACGCAACATTTCAAATAATGGCATTTTAAATAATAACACCGAAATAGAGCAATAATAAGCATAACTTTCTGAATGTGACAGGCGCCGCCATTTAGATTTGCTTTTTTCCCTCCTTCCTTGTCTTCTTCTTCTTGTGTTTTATGGCGGTTGGCAAACAACTGGCTGCACATCCCGATTCACACTCCATTCCAGTAGTTGGCGGTAATGCCCCTCCGGAAGTTGCTTGCCAACCAACACAAAACAGAAGAACAACAACTATAAACAACAATCGAAATCTTCTCCACGCCACATTTTGATTTGCTTGATTCCCTCCTTCTTCTTCGTCTTCTTCTTCTTGTGTTTAATGGCGGTTGGCAAACAACTTTTGGTGCATTAGAGCCACCAACTGCTTGATTTTCTCCTTCAATACTGGCAGTAATACTGCAGATGGTCACTAGGAGGCGAGGAGTCGAGGAACCGAGATAGCGTGATGTGTAAACGGTCGTCAGAACAGAGCTCGGCCTGGTTAACTGATCCGAGCTCGGACCGGTCTCGGCATGGATCGGTTTTTCAAAGGTAGTGTAAATGGGGTATATGTTTGTGTGCGTGAAACGGCTTCCTGCACGGCAGCAAATCAACTTACGGGCTTTTCTGTTTTCAGAGATATCCGCAGGTCTCCGTTGATCCTGTGCAGAGTTGAATCCGTCCCGGTTGCACTCTCTCTTTCCGAGTCCTCTTCCTGTCCTGCTTCTTTGTCAACAGATTTCAACCGTAAAGCCTCAGCTCGAGAAGTCCCACTCTTCGCCCCTCCATCATCCCTCTTCTGGTCTTTGCACTCTTCTGAACGTCTTAATGTCACTTGCTCCTCTTTTCTCTCCTCGTGTTTCTTCTTCTGCTCCCTTGTTATTCTCACTACCTCTGTTTCCTTCCTCCCTTCCAGAGATCTTGGCTCCTCTTGTTTTCTTGTCGCCTTGTCTACAGCTTTGTTCTTCTTTTGCTCCTTAGTCTCTTCTTTAGTCTCCTGATATTGGCCGTCCTGTTTCTTCTTCTGTTCTCGTGTTAGCCTAACTACCTCAGGTTCCCTCCTCCGGTCCTGCTCCTCCTGCTTTGTCGTTTTGCCTCCTGCTCCACTCATCTTCTGCTCTTTTCTCTCCTTTTGTGGACTTAATCTCATTCTGTTGTCAGTTTGGTTTTCGTGTTTCTTCCTCTGTTCACGTGTTATTCGGACCCCCTCTGACTCCCCCCTCCCTTCCTGTTTTTTGGCCTCCTTGTCTTCAGCATCACTCTTCCTCCGCTCTTCTCTCCCCTCCGGTCGGTGAGACGAGGTTCTGTCGTCTGTTTTCTCCTTAAGTTTGCCGTCATGTTTCGTCTTTTCACGCGTTACTCTGACCGCCTCCGCTTCCCTGCTCCCTTCCTGATTTTGTTGCTCCTCCCGTCTTCCTGCCACCTTCTCTTGAACTTCATTCTGCTTCTGCTCTTTGGGTTTTTCTTTTTTAGTGTCAGACTTTTCCCCCTCCTTTACTGTGCTTCTTCTTTTTTCTCTCTCTGAAGTCTTTTTCACCTCCTCCGTTACCACATTCTCCTCCTTTCTCTTCTTCTTCTCCTCCTCCTCAGCAGCTGCTTTTGTTAGTCCTCCCAGCATAGTCTTCAAATGGATCTTTGTTCCCTGACTGGCCTTCACGATCTTTCCGATTATTTTCCTCTGATCTCTCTGCAGCTTTGTCTCATCTTCTCCTTTGCTCATGGTCTTTTCTTTACTTCTGTCTTCAGCTGACTCTCTAGGTGATGTCCTCTCCTCTCCGACCGTCCTTGTTCCGCTCTCCCCTTGCTTACTTCTCTTGTCATCGGTCCTCTCAGCTGTAAACTTTCTAGCGGCCTCCTTGTCCTTGCTGCTACTTTCGTTTGTCTTCTCTTCCTTCTGCCCCCCCGTCCGTGGTCGAGACGGTCTGTCTTCCTCATGATCGTCCACTTTAGTTCCTTTATCTTTGTTGTGTTTCTCTTCCTTCCGCTCAGATGTTGCCCTTTTGGTGGACGTCTCCCCTCCTGTCCCTTTGTCCGTCTGCTCCTCCTCGCCATCCCTGCTGTTGTTCTTCATTTTAACAGATGTTCCTCCTTCTCCTACAGCACTGATAAAGACATAAAGCCAAAACAGATAAATTACGCCTGTATTGGATCGCTTTGGACAAATGAGGTGCGAGTCGTCTTCCTTACTGAGAGCTCTTCGTTGGTTCCTTCGTCTTCAGCAGACCTCTGAGAGATCGGATCAAACTCTCCCTCCGCGCCACCAGATGGTGGTGCCGCTGTTTGAGAAGATGTGTTCAGAAACATTAAACAAATATCGTTTTTTGGTTTTACACGCTCTCTACAGCTCAAATAAATCGGCATTTAACTGCACTTCAAAAGGATAGACCCACAACAATACACATGATTAAGGGAGAAAAATGTCTGCTAATTATTTTATATGGTAAAAGTAAACCTTAAAGTTCAAATAGAAAACCACTTACCGTATTTTCACGACTATAAGGCGCATATAAACATATTTTTTCCCCCTCAAAATGTGCGGCGCGCCCTTTGGTGCGGTGCGCCCTATGTGTGTTGTAACTGCTGGTTTTTGAGACCACCTCATTGAGGAGATGATGAAAGAGTGGCTGAGAGAGGTGAATGTAAGGAGACCAGCTGCGTATAGGCGCAGCAAAAGGTCCCGCAGCGCGTTTTGAGCAGCAGGCGCAGCGCGTCGGGAGCGTTTAAGCATCTAAAGCGCTTGACACGCCGGCAGCGCGCTGCTGCTGCTTGAGATGGAAAAAATGAAGTTTTGCTGCTGGACGCGCCGCATCAACCAATCAGAGAAGCTGATCTGGGAGCTGACAGCGAGACAGACACATCGCTCTGATGACATATGATATTAAGGCTATTGAAAAGGGCTGGATGGATGAGGAGATGATGAAAGAGTGGCTGAGGCAGGTGTATGTGAGGAGAACAGGTGTTTTTTTTCCACGCATCAC